GGGGATCAAATCTTTGATCGTATTTGGGGACTCGGCTTTGGTTATCAGTCAAATCAAAGGAGAGTGGGACACCAAACATCCTAATCTTATCCCATACAAAGAACATGTCCTGACATTGCTGCCTCATTTCGAGCAGATTACTTTCGAGCATTTCCCGCGAGAAGAAAATCAGCTAGCAGATGCTCTGGCTACAATGTTTTCCATGTTTAAACTCAACTGGGATAACGAGGCTCCCCAAATCACCATTGAGCGAATGGACGAACCTGCGCATTGTCATGAGATTAATACCGAAGAAGTAGTGGAACAACCCTGGTTCCATGAAATCAAAAGGTATCTCCAGACTAGAGAGTATCCTGAAGGAGCTTCCGTAAATGACAAGAAGTTCTTAAGGAGATTTGCTGCCAAGTTCTTCCTGAGCAATGGCATCCTTTATAAACGCAGCCATGATTGTGTTTTACTTCGTTGTGTGGACAAAGCTGAAGCAGAGTTGATCATGACTGAGATACACATCGGCACATTTGGCCCCCACTTGAGCGGACATACGATGGCTAAGAAGATTCTAAGGGCAGGCTATTATTGGTCTACCATGGAAGCTGATTGCCATCAACATTCCCGTACTTGTCACAAATGCCAAGTCTATGCCGACAAAATACATATTCCTCCTGTTCCTCTCAACGTTCTGACAGCTCCTTGGCCATTCGCAATGTGGGGCATTGACATGATTGGAGAGATCAAGCCCACAACGTCCAATGGACATCGCTTCATCTTGGTCGCTATTGACTATTTTACCAAGTGGGTCGAAGCAGCTTCCTTTGCCTCTATTACAAAAAATGTGGTTGCCCGCTTCATCAAGCAGAACCTTATATGCCAGTATGGTGTCCCCGACAGGATCATCACAGACAACGGTACGAATCTGAACAACACTATGATCACCGCTCTATGCGAACAGTTCAAGATTTATCATCACAATTCATCTCCCTATCGGCCGAAGATGAACGGTGTTATTAAAGCTGCGAATAAAAACATCAAGAAGATCATTCAAAAAATGACAGTTACCTACAAAGACTGGCATGAGATGTTACCGTTTGCTCTGCATGGATATCGTACCACGGCACATACTTCAACAGGGGCAACCCCATTTTCTTTGGTATATGGCATGGAAGCTGTCCTACCCATGGAAGTTCAGATCCCTTCTCTAAGGATTATGAAGGACGCTGGTTTGAGTGAAGACGATTGGATTCAGACCCGACTTGATCAACTTAATTTGATCGATGAGAAGCGACTCACTGCTATTTGCCATGGTCAGACGTACCAAAAACGAATGATCAAGGCTTTCAACAAGAAAGTAAGACGTCAAGTATATCAAGTCGGAGATCTTGTAATCAAGCGGATCATCTTTCCGCAAAGTGATCCCAGGGGCAAATGGACTCCTACTTACGAAGGACCATTTGTGATCAAGAGCATCTTTTCTGGTGGGGCAATGATTTTGACCACCATGGACGACGACGATTTGCCACACCCTACGAACGTAGACATAGTCAAAAGATACTACGCGTAAAGCGACCCGACAAGTTGAAAACCTGAAAGGGCGACTTGGGCAAAAATGGGCATCCCGGTGAACCGAAAACCCGAAAGGGCGGTTCAGGCAAAAATTAGGGATAAAACAAAAAAAATCTGTACACCCGGCAAGTTGAAAACCCGAAAGGGCGACTTGGGCAAAAAAGGGTTTCCCGGTGGATCGAAAACCCGAAAGGGCGATTCAGGCAAAAGTTAGGGAATTAAAGCGTATGACTATGTCTCGTCAGATCACTTTAAAGAACAATCTCTTCATCAACAAGTTCCGAGCTTCTGATCAATCCAGTCATCGGTGGACGAAGCATTGAATGGACAAGATATTCAGAGTTGTGAAGGCTATAATAGAATGGAATCCCATGGAATTGTTACATATAGCCATCTTTCTTTTGTATAAAATTTTCAATTTTTTACGACAACATCCTCTTACCAGGATGTCTGTCTCCTTTGTACAAAGATACTCATAAAAAGTTAATACAAACACTTTTCCAAATACAGAAATTTGCTTTGTCTTCCTTTTGCTTTTTACACGTATGTTTTATTTGAGAAACGTCCAAGGTTTTGTTAAATAGGCATATGCATTTGAACATAATCATTTTCTTACAAATCAAGATAAGATGGTTGCTGATAGGTTGAAAGTATAGGTAGATATCTTGATGCCCTTTCAGAGGAAATCCCCAGCGGAATTAAACTCCAAATTCCTCAACAAAGTTAAAATCCAGAACTTAATTCCCCAAACAGAGTTAAACTTCAGGATCCTCAGCAGAACAAAAGCTTTCTCAAAGTTGATTTCCCCAGCCAAGAGAGCCTTCCAGAACTTAATTCCCCTCAGAGGTAAGTTTCAGAATCCCCAGTGGAGCCAAAACTATCAATCCCCAACGTAGCTAAAACTTCCAACTTTCAATCCCCAGCGGAACCAGATTAGTAGACATTCTCCCCACAGAGATACTTCCCATCAGATTGAAGATTCTCAGTCTTACTTCTCCAGCATAAGTCTACCAGGTTCTGGACTCCCCAGTAGAGATCATCAGAATTCTCATTCCCCACAAGTCACCAAGGATTTTTCAAACCCCAACAGTGATCCTAAGATCCCTCAACAACTGAAGATCTTGTTCCCCAAGCAGTCAGCAGTCAACAAGGATGTCTCAGCTTCAGCAATCAAAGATTCTTGCAATCCCCTGCAGCAGTCAAGGATTCACTTTCCCTGGCAGCAGTCAAGATTCTATTATCTCCGGCTATCCAGGATTCATCTATCCTCAGCAAGACAGCTCATCAGCTTACATGCGCATTCACTACATTCATCACTATGCCAAAATTGAATTTAGACAGCGCCACATAGACAGCGCTTATGCCATAAGCACTGCTATAGGTTTAAAAAAAATTTAAAAAAATTAGAGTAAGCGCTGCTAAAGGTATACCTTAGACAACGCTTACTAAAAGCGCTGCTAAAGGCCTTACCATAGACAACGCTTCCTTTCCCTAAGCGCTGCTATAGGTTTTCAATAAAAAAAATAAAAAAATAAGAATAAGCGTTGCTAAAGGGTATACCTTAGACAACGCTTACTAAAAGCGCTGCTAAAGGCTTTATCATAGCCAGCGCTTCCTTTCCCTAAGCGCTGCTATAGGTTTTCAAAAAAATAAAATAAAAAAATAAGAATAAGCGCTGCTAAAGGGTATACCTTAGACATCGCTTACCAAAAGCGCTTCTAAAGGTGTGATAAGAGGTATACCTTAGACAGCGCTTTCAAGAAGCGCTGCTAAAGGTAATACCTTTAGCAGCACTTCTTGAAAGTGCTGTCTAAGGTAATTAAAAAATTTCTAAATCCCTAAATTGGTTATCAGAAACCCTACTTTATACAAAACCTCACTTTATATACGCAACTGTTCATCTTCGTCTAACTCGTCTCCTCCCTCCTCACCGTGGACATGGTTCATCTTCTTCTCCAACTCGCTTCGTTCGGATTCGTTACCACCATCTCCAACTCTGCTTCTAAACATCTCAAGATTCAATGCGAACTTGAAGGAAAACTCAAGGGTTCTCATTCTGTTGATTTTGACGCTCGCTTCATTGATAGGGTATTCTCTTTTCTTTCTTTCTCTATTTTTTGTTGTTTATTTCATTCTCAACCGTTTTGCTTTTCTGCGTTTCTTTATTTAGGTTAAATTTTACTTCACTTTTTCTTTTGTTCTATGTGAACTTTTGCAATTGAATTTGAACTGTTGTTGCGACTTTGCGTGTTGGTGATAAAATGATCATTCATTTCTCTATGACAAATATTATCTTTCGTAGAACACTCTTGTGATTTTATTCTGTTGTATTGCATTTTTCATTGGACTTACTGAACAAGTTATAGTTGTTTGGATTTTGATTGTGGAATCAACCCAATCTAGCTAGCATCTTATCTTGACATAAGATGATAAGATTGTTACATATTTTGTTGAGGTAGCAAGAAATGAATATGGTTTTTGAATATGCTGTTAGAGAGGTCAGGGTAAAACAAATGTTCAAAGAGCAGCGAGGCAGTTGTACTTGTAGCATGGCTGAATATGTTTGTTTCTGCATCTACCATGGTTTAGAGATTTGATTTTGTTTCACATCTACCATTAAAATAAATTTTACACCACTCTCAATTGTAGATTGCTGCATTTTCTAAGTATCGTTTTTAAAGCTGTATTTTACTGATTTTGTATCAACATGGTGCTTGACTATGCAAATTAAACAGAAGAATTAGGCAGAAAACCACTTGAATCCTTTTGAGTTTGAAGGAGCATAATTAGAAGCCCCACATTCAATCATTTTCTAAAGCATTTTAATTTTAAGCAAATGTGTTTCTTTGGTTTTGAAACAAAGCAGAGCATCAAAATGAAAAGGGTTGTTGTCCGGTTAATATTCAGGAAACAAAAACAAAATTTTAAAGCCTTTTGCTTTATCTAAGTATATAAAAAGGAATAAATTACAACCAAACACATTTACTTGACACTCAACATGATCCTAGTCTTGCTATGCAGCCTAGGACCAGAGAGACAGATGCTACTATCATCTTATTTACTATTAGATATATTTTTACATACTTAGATTCATTTTGTAGCAATTATACATCTCTGATATTACTAGTTGCCCAGGTAAAGAAGCCTCTTCATAGTAATCTGAGAAGGCCAGTATTCTTCAACCTTTCTTAGCATCCAAAGTCATAAGGAACCAGCCCTTTCAGTTCTGGGCCGTTGAGTGCATTATTTTCAAAACTGAAACACAAGTAGCATACATATATTTACTTCAGTTTTAAATATTAAGAACATACAAGTTTGAGTGACTGTTCTAAGATGCAAGATACTTTGCAAAGTATTTATGTACCTTAAAGTTTGTGTTTACAACAATGTAACTGTACAGGATTCCAATACACATATAAAGATGGCAGTAACATCTTTGAATGCTATACAAAACTACAATTGTTGAATGGGAGGCATTCACCAAGTTTTCCAGGAACAACTTACTTGAGACTTCCAAAAGGCAAGAACTTCTCAAAACAAGAGTCTGTAAGTGTAAAAGATCACATTTGTTTAGTGCAGCTTTCCAAACACTATTTCAGAAAGCCAACAGATAATTTGGTGAGGTTTTTTTTGTGGATTTCAATTGCAGTTGGTGGTTTAGAATTTGTTTTCTTTATTGTAGTTGGGGTTTGTTTAAATAAAGCCAAAAAAAAGTCTAGTGGAAATCAAAATAGTTATCATCATGCAATATTTGGATTTAGAAGGTATAGTTATTATGAGTTGAAGGTAGCTACAAAGAATTTTAGTAATGAGATTGGAAGAGGTGGAGGAGGGGTTGTCTATAGAGGTACATTGCCAGATCAAAGAGATGTTGCAATAAAGAGATTGAATGAAGCTAAACAAGGAGAATGGGAGTTTCAAGCCGTGGTAAGCATCATCGGAAGGCTTAATCACATGAACTTGATTGAAATGTGGGGATATTGTATTGAAGGTAAGCATAGAATTTTGGTATATGAGTACATGGAAAATGGCTCTTTAGCTGAAAATCTTTCATCTAAAACCAACACACTTGATTGGAGTAAAATGTATGATATCGCTTTAGGAATATCTAGAGTTCTAGCTTATCTACATGAAGAATGTTTGGAGTGGATTTTAGATTGTGATATAAAGCCACAAAACATACTTCTTGATTCTAACTTTCAGCCCAAGTTAGCAGATTTTGGATTGTCTAAGCTGAAAAATAGAAACGATCTCAATAATAACTCAACATTCTCAATGATTAGAGGAACAAGAGGATACATGGCCCCTGAATGGATTTTCCATTTACCAATAACATCTAAAGTAGATGTTTATAGTTATGGGATTGTTGTGTTGGAGATGATAACTGGAAAGAATCCAACATTAATGAATATAGAAGGAGAGGATGGAGAAATGACATACAATGGAAGTTTGATAAGTTGGGTGAGAGAGAAAAAGAGGAGCCAATGTTGGGTGGAAGAAATTTTGGATCCAGCAATTGGGACTAGTTGTGATTTAAGTAAGATGGATATTTTGGTTAGAGTTGCTTTGGAATGTGTAGAGGAAGATATGGATATTAGGCCTAATATGACTCAGGTGGTTGAGATGCTCCAAAATAATGAAATAGTTGTTGAGTGATATCTGAAATTGATAATATGCAGTTTTAGAATGTTACAATTTTTAGGTTTCTTATTCGAAATTTAGGTTTCTTATTATAAATTTTTAGGTTTCTTATTCTAAATATATACTAGCATATTTTGAAGTTATAAACATTATTACTTATTGCCTGCAAATATTTTTGTAAACATTAGCTCCTTTATATACTCGTGCTTATATGAACAAAAAGCTTAGGGGTTATTTTATGATAAGATAAGAGATACATGATAGAATAAGTTATTATGTCTTCTTACAATAATAAGAAAACACATTTATTATCAGCATTATACGGAAATTAATATTATTTTAACTAGAGCTAACTAGAACAGAAGTAATTTGGTTTGTTTTATGGGCACAACATGCTACTATTTGTTATGTGGTGCTACTAGATATACCAATGTGTGTTAGTTTCTAGTGGGGGTGGAGATTGATTTTAGTTAAATCATAAATGTAAATTTAAGATAAATTGATTAATGTATGGATATGTGCACATATGATAGGTGAGTTGAACAATAAGTTTGAGTGAAAATCATGTTTGAAGATTAAAACTACTATTTGTACATTTGTAGTACAAGTATGATAATAAGCTTTTAGTTTGACCCCCTTTTCCTATGCATAGTTTCACAGATAATTCTGTTTAACCCCAAGAACAGATGATATGCAGTAAAAATCAAAGGAAAAAATGCATCATACAAAACTGGAAAATATGCATCATGCAAACCCATATGTCAATTTTAATATATCTTATATTTCTGCACAACAATTAACTGAGTTGGTTTAACGAGACTAATGAGTTTGATGTATTGTTTTTACAATGAATGATACAGGAAATCAAGATGTTAGAATAGTGCATCACCAGAATTTGAATAAGAGAATTCTACTAGCATTGATTGCTTCTTCTGCTCTTGCTGGAATCTTCATCTTCTTATTGTTTTTCTTCTTACGGCGAAATAGAAAATTAACAATCTCCGCGAGTAAAAGCTGAGGAACCTTAGGTATTATGGTTTCTATTCTCTCTTTTGAAACTTTTATTTTGATTTTTTTTAAATCTAAGATATATTATGGACTAGTCAAAATACCATTCAACATGACACTTAATTTCCCTACATTGTTTCTTTTCTGTTTCTCATAATGTATGCTTAGCTCATGTAGACATGCCTGCAAGGAACAAAGGAATCACATCATGTAAATCCCCCATCTAATATTCAACTTAGTAATAGTAAAAAATAACACAAATCATGAATCTTAGAATGAGTTCACAACTAAGCTAATGTCTCTAAAATTGTAACGTTGATGATCATTGATTGAATATGTTATAGGACCACAACAATCCTCATTTCTAGAATTGTTCTAATCACATGTTTGATTTTTGTTGACAACACAGAGTCTTTAACTTAGATAATAGTTAAAACCATGGATAAAAAATGGATGTGTGTCGATCGATTGTCAAAAGAGTACGAGGATGGGGTATTAGAGTTCGTTAAGTTTGCTGTTGAACACGCTGAAGACCCGAATAGAATGAAATGTCCTTGCTTGGGTTGTTGTCATCTGGGTCGGGTTGACGCAGATGGATTGAAATCGCATTTACTAATGCGCAGAATTGATCGAAGTTATACGTGTTGGATATTTCATGGTGAGAAAAGCATCGAGAATGTTGAACCGGGGGTGAAAAGTAATGCGACCTATGTTTCGTACGACAATGCCACAGATACATATGATTGTGATCGGGTGGAAGAGATTGCAGAAGCACTTGAAGAAGATCTTCAAGATTGTACCAAAATGTTTGAGAGGTTGGTAAGCGATGCGGAGAAACTGTTGTATAAAGATTGCCCCAAATTCACAAGATTGCCTGCGGTATTAAAATTGTACAACTTAAAGGCGCGCAATGGATGGTCAGATAAAAGTTTCACACAGTTATTAGCCCTTTTGAGAGATGTGCTTCCTGAGGATAATGTTCTTCCTAATCGAACCTACGAGGCCAAAAAAATGTTGTGCTCTATTGGCATGAGCTATGATAAGATACATGCATGTCTAAATGATTATATTTTGTTTTGAAACGAATATGCATCGTTGAATGAGTGCCCAAAGTGCAGTTTATCTCGATATAAGAAAAAATTATCTCCAGTGAAAGTCTTATGGTATTTTATGATATTTAGATTATTCCTGCTAAAGAGATTGAAGCTGTAAGTAGGGGTAAGGAGCCTGTAATTAGCAACATTCCCACAGAAACAAAGAGTGTTGCTAAGAGGTCCGGGGCTAGAAAGAAAACTACTTCACAATATAGGTCGTGCCTTCAGACATTTATAAGCTTCACAACTATTTCGCAAGGTGGTACTTCTCTTATACCCCTGCATGAAGGGATTTATGGTTCTGAAGGCATGACAGCAATTGGTAAGGAGGATTTGGAACAAGTTTTTGGAACAAGTTTTTGGACACTTGACATTAGGCATGGCTGTTATCAATACATACATCAGGTATACTCCAATCAACTTTGTTTAATTAATTGCAGAATTTATTTACTCATTTCAATGAATAATTAATGTTAATGATGTTTTTATTTAAGGTTTCTGTATGACAAGTTGATTCGCCCGCGTGGATTGGAGTCCAGATTCGCTTTCATAAATCCCAACATTGTCCACGCAGGGTCAATAATCTCAAAACCAGATGAAGTAATAGCATTTGTGCTTAGTTTATTTATGGCCAGCAAAGATACAAATTTTTTTTTCTTTTTACCATATAATACTGGCCCCAAGTAAGATTTTCATTCTAAATCACCTCTATTATAATTTTTCGTTTTTTAACGTTGTGCAGAAAATTTCCATCTAACCTTTGTTTAATATTCCAGTGGACACTGGTTATTGGTTGCAATTAATCCTGTGAGAGAAATTGTATATTATCTGGATTCATTGGGCAATGATTGGACAACATACTCAGATATGAAGAAGACGATTGACACGTAAGTGACATTGTTCCAAAATATTACTGTGTATATTTAATTATTTATGTGCGATAGTTCTAAATATTCGTTATTATTTTATTATAGCATTCTACAAAGTTTTCAAGCACAAAGAGATATTCAAGTACCAAGGAGTAGAGTCAACAATATTTCTTGGATCAAAGTGGAGGTATAGATTTTCACAGTTTTGATTATATAGCGATGATACTTGATAAAACAAGTTAAGGTGTATATCTTGATGTATATCCGTATTTTCTTTCCATGTGTAGTGTCCTCGTCAGTGCAATGATGTAGATTGCGGTTATTTTATTTTGAGATTTATGAAAGAAACTATTCTTTTGGACCGATTAGAGATTCCATCCACGGTATGAATTTCTAACTTAGGAATTATTTTCATATTTCTCATAAAATGACTTAGTATTTTAATTAAATCATACTATGTTATATTATTATGTAGTACTTTGATGAATTCAAGTGTGCTTCATACTCAAAAGATCAATTGGATGAACTTATGGAGGATTGGTGCCAATTTGTTATGGAGTTGAGAGTTTTATTATAAGGTATAACTTTGAGTTTTGAGAATATAATATATGTCGTTATAGTTGTGTTACAATATTATTGTTTTTGTTGTTGTTATTTGGTAACTTGTATGAATTTTGATTTTTTGATTTTGTTTTCGGTTATATAGGTGCAGCTCGATGTAGAAGATAGAGTTATATATTCATCGTGGATTTTGTTTCATTGTTGTATATACTAATGTTGTTGTTGTGTATATTGTGCAAAAAGGAGTGAAGAGATGAATATTGATGTAGCTATAATATTGTTTCATTGTTGTATATACTAATGTTGTTGTTGTGTATATTGTGCAAAAAGGATTGAAGAGATGAATATTGATGTTGTTATAATATTGTTTCATTGTGGTATATATTAATCTTGTTGTTGTGTATATTGTGCAAAAAGGATTTAAGAGATGAATATTGATGTTGTTATAATATTGTTTCATTATGGTATATATTAATGTTGTTGTTGTTTAAAATGTTATAATGAAGCTATAATTTCTGGTGCAAAAACGGTGAGAATAAATTTGATAGGCAGCGTTTTGTTTTAAATGAAAGCGCAGTCTAAAGTGATTGAAATTTTTTTTTTTTTTTTAAAAATAAAGAAAAGCGCTGCTAAAGGGGGGGGGGGGGGGGGGGGGGGGGGGTAATAGACATCGCTTTTCATGAAAGCGCTGTCTAAAGTGATTGAAAATTTTTTTTTTTTAAAAAGGAAAAGCGCTGCTAAAGGGGGGGGGGGGGGTAATAGACAGCGCTTTTCATGAAAGCACTGTCTAAAGTGATTGAAAAAAAAAAAGGAAAAGCGCTGCTAAAGGGGGGGTAATAGACATCGCTTTTCATGAAAGCGCTGTCTAAAGTGATTGAAATTTTTTTTTTTTTAAAAAAATAAGGAAAAGCGCTGCTAAAGGGGGGGTAATAGACAGCGCTGTCTAAAGTGATTGAAAATTTTTTTTTTTTTTAAAATAAGGAAAAGCGCTGCTAAAGGGGGAGGGGGGGGGGGTAATAGACAGCGCTTTTACCAAGCGCTGTCTAAAGTGATTGAAAAAAAGAATATTAAAAAATAATAAGGATAAGCGCTGCTAAAGGGGGGGAATAGACAGCGCTTGATAAAAGCGCTGTCTAAAGTTCCACATTAAAAGCGCTGTCTATACCTTTAGCAGCGGAGGTTTTAGCAGCGCTTTTAAGCACTGTTAAAGGCCTAAAAAAGCGTTGTCTAATCCCTTGTTTGGCATAGTGCATATATCATAAACATTGATATAACATATATATTGCATCATACATTTCATGCAACATAACTTTGTGTTTCAGCTAATATTTTACCCTTTTCAGGATAAGATTAACAACTTTTGAAAACAGTTTACGGACGCTTCCCAACATGGATGCTGATCTATTGCTTATTCAACTTCAAAACTTTTGAAAACAGTTCACGGATTCTCCAATCACGGATGTTAATCTATCACTTGTACAGA